GGAGGAAAGAGAAATGTGGAACACCCTAGGGCTGAGTCAGGCATTTGCCTTCCTTGTGGTTTCCTGGTACCCTTTTCCCTCCTGTGGCCCTTTACTGTTCCGAATTTCAGTGTTCTAAATTCTTTTCTTGTCAGCATTCTACCCTAGACTGTATACTCCTGAGAGCAGAAATAGCGTCTTGTTTACTGTTATAATCCAGGACCTAGCATGGTTTCTTACATGTAGTAAACACTCAGGAAATACTTGTTTAATAAATAAATTAGAAGAAGTAAAATGTTCCCAGCTATTCATGCATCCACTGTTTTTGTTTGGTTGGTTGGTTGGTTTTATATTTTCCATCTCACCCGTCAGAAACTCATGATATCTTCATAGCTTGAGGACAGGCAAGTGAGGGGCCACATTATACTGACATTCCTGGTTTCTTTCTCTCTCACCCTCCTCTTACCCCTCCTTACATGTTCTTGGAAGTAAAACTCCCAAGTTTGGGGGAGGAAGCATGCCAGGAGCATGGAGTTTCTAGAACTCGAGCACCAGAAGTGACCCATCTGATCAAAATTTTCAGATGTGTTTTTATAGCCAGTTGTCAGCCTATCATTTTGATATCTCCAGCAAGACATTCTTAGAAGAATGTGGGTGGCACAAGCCTGCAGTGTAGTCCCTGCTACTTAGGAGGCTGAGGCAAGAGGATAACTTGAGCCCAGGAGTTCCAAGCTGTAGTGTACTATAATTGAACCTGAATAGGCCACTGCACTCTAGCCTAGGCAACATAGTGAAATCTCATCTCTAAAAAAATAATTTTTTTTTTAAACAGGGTCTCACTCTGTCACCCAAACTGGAGTGCAGTGGTGCCATCTCAGCTCACTGCAACCTCCACCTCCCAGGCTCAAGCGATTCTCCTTTCTCAGCCTCCTGAGTAGCTGGGATTATGGGTGCATGCCATATACTGCCCGACTAATTTGTGTATTTTTAGTAGAGATGGGGTTTCACCATGTTGGCCTGGCTGGTCTCGAACGGCTGACCTCAAGTGATGCGCCTGGCCCTCAAAATTTTTTTAATAAAAAAAAACAGAAGTGAGAAGAATGTAGTGCAGTGGGAAGGGGGCTAAGCTGGGAGCCATGTCTCCTGGCGCAAATTTTTAATTCTTCTAGCCACTTGTTATGTGATCTCAAGCAAGGTACACAAGTCTCTTGGGTGTTTTTTTCTTTATCTGAAATATGAAGAGATTAAGTGTTTTCTTAATTTTCTTTCAGCTCTGATATTATGTGATTTTATGATTAAGTGACCTGGATGTTGATAATACATGCCCCATTGACAACTCTCTTCCGAAAACTAGAACAAAACCACTGGCTTCCTGGTCCTACTGTCTTTATTTAAGATCATCTTCTTTCATTTTATATGACGGTGTCTCTGTCCCAGGCAGTTTGTGAGGACTTAAGCTTTTATTTACTGTAGCTGGAGGCTCCTATAAGCCAAGGCTTTGACAATATTTCACATTTATTTATCTGAACTAGAGCTTAGGATCAGGTGGCAGTTAAGTCATTTAAGGTTATTCAAATGCATTGAAAATGTTGCTTAATAATTCAGAACCAGTTTTCTCTGTTTAGAGTATTAAGATTTTTTAAATCCTTCTAATTAGCCAATTCCAACAGCAGTTTAAATAGGGAAAATTCTGTCCCCTCTGAAAAGGCAACTGATGCAGACTTATTGTCAGCCCCTGTGTCTGTACAGCAGAACTGACAGAAGCTAGAGCTAGAGAGCTTCCAGAGCCAAGGGAGCTGCTGGGATGACCTGCTGATGGTATCACCAACGGAGTCTGCCTGCTATAGGAATGAGGCTAGGGGAAGAGGTCTGAGGATGCAGCTCCTCTAGACTCCATTTCTTTGGATTCATGGAGGCTCTAGGAAGGAGTGGGGAGTTTCCATTCAGTCATTCAGTAGGTCAGTCTTTCAGCAAACATGTAGTGAATTTACACTGTTTCCAGCAGTATGCTAGGAGCTGGGGATAGTTGGCCAGTAAAATCTCTTATGTGCCCTCAAAATTCAACCTGACTGGAGAGACAGACTCATAAACAAATAATCAAAAGGCACAACAGATAACTCAGTGTGAGACCGTAGCTGATCCCTTGAGCTAGATCCTGTAGGATCTCTTGCCTGGTCAAAGTATAAGAATGCTGTTTTAGCAAAAGACAGGGTTGGCATTGCCAGTACCTGCATTCCACTTTAAACACTGACCTTGAGTCAGCCAGCAGACCTTGGCAACTTCCTTGTCTGAGGATCCTAAGGTGAAATTAAGGTATTAGTTTGGTTAACATGGATTGACCACATGGAGGATAATGGGATAGGCATATGAGGGAGAGACCACAATGAACATATATGGTCACTGTGTTCCATGAGCCTGTGGCCTAGTGAATGATGCCAGCTATGATTAACTCTCTTACAGGAATAGGAGAAAGATTAATTTAGGCTCTGTCACTCAGGCCTGATTTTATGGAGAAAGTAGCATCTGAGCTGAGCCTTGAAGGATATATAGGTTAGGACAGGTAGAACTGGAGAGAAAGGACAGTCTAGGTGGAGGAAACAACATAGCAAAGGTTCAGGGAGGAAAAGCACAAGACATATTTGAGGAATAGCAAACTGCTCTAATTGTCTGGCACATAGGGTCTATGAGAGGATAATATTTAGAGATCAGCATAGTAAGCAATGTTGGGGCCAAGCCACTACCACCCGTTCGAAAATTTAGACCCAGATTTCACTTATTTGATGTATTTTTTGAGAGAAAATATTTTGCCACTTCTAAAATGTTGTTACTGTGACAAGCTGTGATAATGCTCATAGCAGGTCCATAAGGTGGTACACCAGACAGATATCAACATCCTTGTTTAACAGACAAGGAAACTCAGAGGATGAAAAGTGACTTGTCCTAGACCACACAGGTAATCAGAGCAGTATGCTAGGGTCAGGAGGCAGGTTTTCCATTCCCCAAAGGATGCTTGTTCCCTGACTGTCCTCCCCAGCTCTGAGCCCTGACCCTTTGTGGATATGGCAACTAAACTGATAGGGAATAAGCATGAAGAAAAGGCTGGCCAGGTAAAATGCATTATCTCTAGCCACCTTCAAGTACCACTTTCCTAGCATCCTCTCTTCCTAAATACTTTTCTTTCTCATCATGGTACTTTTGCTTAAGCCCGGGAGTTTGGGAATTTGGGTATAGGTTTGATATTGTACAGGCCGCTGCTGGACCAGCCTTCAAAGAAAACACCTGCTCTGTTCATGATTCTTGCCTTCCAGTTTTATAAGCTTTTGGACAGATGAAATGTACTATCAAAATAGCTCAGAGAGAGCCTTGGTAACATTTAAGATATTGAACGTGCTGCATCTGGTAACTAGAAAATTTAATGATCTCCTGCTGTTTTGGTAATTGGATAAGTAAATACATCAGAATAAATCACACCGGCAAGTCTTTTGTATGTCGTTAGGGACTAAACTCTTTTAACTCCTGTTCAAAGCCCCAGCTCTTGAGTGGTGTTTGCGTGCAGAGTAATGCACACACCAGCTCGCATGGCCCTGCTTGGATATTAAAATTCATTCAAAATGGCCACTTTCTCCCTAGCCCACTCGGCCTGAGGAGCACATCTAGCCCACCACTCCAGATCTTTCTGAAGCCAAGGAGAAAATATTTTTTCAGAAGTTTAAATGACACCTAATAAGGTATTTGAGCTCTTCATGATCTATGTCCAAACTGTCTTTCCAGCCATGTCTTTTACTGAAGGCCTGCTGGGAGCCTTCTCAGAAACACTACCATGTACAAACTGGGAAAGTGAGGCCAAAGCAAAAGGGGACTATCCTCTTTTGGCAAGGAGCCATTTAAGAATGTTGAGAAGGAGAAGGACAGGATCAGACATTTTGTTCAACTGTCTCACAAGTGGAAATGTGAAGGAGATAGACCCAGAGGGACATGGTCTATTAAGAGACCATGTGGTGTTGGGTGATGTTGTCACCAACTTACAGATGAGAAATTTGGATCTTATCTCATGGTAAGAGGTTAAATGACTTACTCAAGAGCACACATGCAGTGCTAAGATTTAAAAGCCACCAGTGTTTTTTTTTTTTACTGCCTCCCTAATTAGCACTTAATCCATGCCTAGTAGTGAAATTCTGAGACTAACAATAATCAGGATCTCTCAGAAGGCTTTTAAACTGAGTTAACAGTTCTAAACCTAACCAGAAAACAGGTGTCTCCTCTTTCATTTGTCTCTCAATATCTTGTTCCAAACACAATGGTTAGCATTATGGACCAACCTTTTATACAAGGACCTGGCTGCTTCCATGGTATTGGCCTCAGAAAGTGAGGCATGTCCGCTAACTCAGTGATTCCCGGTCTTTTTCAAGTCACTGCACACATTGAAAATAGTGTTTGTGTGTCTTACTGGAGAACCAACCATACTAGGCTGCTCAGAGTCAAAAGCAACTCAGCTCTGAGGATCCTGCTTGCCCCAAGTGTTGAGAAGAATCAGTATCTTAGCATACCTGTAAGCTGGGCACACTGCTGGGGCTCATCTGCATTAGGTTTGTCTTGCCACACTACAGAATCTTCACTCATGAATTTGTCTGTATCCAGTTTGTGCTTTCAGGGACAATGAACTTGCAAATTGTTCTGTAAAGCAGGACTTCCTTTTATGTACTTGAAATTATGTCTTCCAGATTCCAGGACTTTCCAGGATGGGGAAACATGCCTGTTCTCATTCTTTTTATATTCATTTTATGTTCTTTATTCTCATTCTGAAGACTTGGATCATCTCCTGTTTTTAGACTAAGAAGGTTTTTTCCTTCCCATTCCATTCTTAATAGAATCCCCTCTGGGCCTTCCCCATTTATATTGTCATTTAATAGTACAGTGACCAAAGCCACCATCAGGGATACCACCGCAAGGAGAAGGTTACAGCTCTTGTTTGGTGTCCCTGACAGTGTGCCAAGTTTGAGACCATTTTAACATTATAATACCTTAGAGTTGGTATCTTCACTATACAGTCCATCTAAAGGCACAGGCTAGGAATGAAGAATCCAGATTTGCCATGAATACTGAATAAACTTGGGTAAGGTCTTTCCACTCACTGGGCTTTTCTGTCCCCATATGCTACAGAGATGACCTCTAAAGACCCATTCAGATCTAACAATTACTAGCTCTGTCATAACTGAATGACTAAATTTTGCCCGAATGCCTAAGGTAATAATACACTCTGTTATGGGGGAAATATGCATTTCAGTTACACGAAGGGTACAGTTCTCCCAAGCAAGGGACTTAGAATAAATAGTCTAGTACATGACTACAGTACTAAAATAATCTAGTGTGGTGGTTAAAAACACAAGAGTTTGAAGTCAGACCTAGTTTTAAATCTTTGCTCTGCCACTTCCTGCCTGTGCATTCTTAGGCAGATTATATAATCTCTCTGAGCCTCTTGTCCTCATTTTTAAAGTGGAGGTAATATACCTCCCCCATAGAGCTGCAGTGGTGCTTATACAGCACGTAGCACAGTTAGCACCTAGTAAGCACCCAATAAATGTTAGCTCTTTTTACCTTTATTATAATTTAATGAAACAAAGAACAAACAGGGCAGCCTACAAGACACAATTTCTATTCCTCTCTTATTTTAATCTTTTCTCCCTTTGTTCTTGCTTTAATTTTTCTTTCATTCTCTTTCCCACCTTAAAAAAGTCATCAAAGAAAGAAAATGCCCTCGACACCTATGCTTTGCAGCCACAGAAGCCCACCCAACCTCACTCTCTAGCACCCCAATTGTTCTGTCACAGTTCAATAATGAAAAGAGGAGCATCTGTCACTGTTTCCTGGAAGCCCTCATCCCAGTGCCACTTCTTTCCTGTGGTCCTGTGAGACAGACTGGCCTAGCAACTGCATAGGAAGCTGAGATAAACCATAGAGTAGTCTCACAGTGGGACCCTTCCAGATTGGAAATTTCATTTTGGGGTGTGTTACCACCTGCAGCAAAGGTAGAGAAGAAATTGCTAAGAGCTACAACTGGCATTGTTGTCATGGTTGTTTATAATAATTATTATTAATAATAATAATCGTAATCCCTTATGTGGCAAAGGACTTTATGGTTACCAAAGCTTTTTTTATACCCTGACTCAGCATATGCCCAGCAATTCCCCTAAGTTCCCCCTCGGATACTTTGTGGGTATAACTGCTTTCTTTAGGGATTCCTAGCTCATCAAAAGGTGTTTAAAGAAAATAGATGATTAGCTGTTAGGACTAAGTTGACAGTAACAAAAGACAGCTTGAGTTCCTGTGTGGAACAGCAAAGCCCATTAGGGACATGAGCCGTGACATAGCAGCAGAGTGCGGCATTTTTTATGCCCAACAGAAAGCCAGTTAGTCATGTTAACTGTCCCCCGTTTAGAAGTAGGTCAGAAGTTGAGAGGCAGTGAAGGGTAATGATTGGATATAGGCTGGAAGCTCACAAACCAGGGTACAATTCTGGCCTTCTCTTTCCTAGCTGTGTAATCTTGAGCAAGTCTCTGAACCATTTTTGACCTCAGAGAATTCATTTGTAAAATGGAAATAATAGGAGTACTTATCTCATAGAATTGTTGTGACCATTTAATTAGATAACATATAGAACAACTAGCATAGTGCCTAACACCTAACACCAAATGAATGGTAGCTTTTTTTTTTTTTTTTTTTTTTTTTAGACAGAGTCTTGCTCTGTCACCCAGGCTGGAGTACAGTAGCACTATCGTGGTTCACTGCAATCTCTGCCTCCCAGGTTCAAGCAATTCTCTTGCCTCAGCCTCCCGAGTAGCTGGGATTACAGTGTGCACCACCACGCCCAACTAATTTTTATATTTTTAGTAGAGATGGTGTTTCACTGTGGTGGCCAGGCTGGTCTCGAACTCCTGACCTCAAGTGATCTGCCTGCCTCAGCCTCCCAAAGTGCTGGGATTACAGACATGAGCCACCACACCCAGCCATGATAACTTTTTATAGTGATGATGTTAATAATTACTTATTAAGTTTCTGATATTTAATAGCATGTTTTCCTAATAGAGTAACTAATAGAATAGGTTACTCATAGAATACCAAAAAGATTAGTTAGGCTGGGCGCCGTTGCTCATGCCTGTAATCCCAGCACTTTGGGAGGCCGAGACAGGTGGATCACAAGGTCAAGAGATCAAGACCATCCTGGCCAACATGGTGAAACCCCGTCTCTACCAAAAATACAAAAATTAGCTGGGCATGGTGGCACATGCCTGTAGTCCCAACTACTTGGGAGGCTGAGGAAGGAGAATCACTTGAACCCAGGAGGCGGAGGTTGCAGTGAGCCAAGATCATGCTACTGCACTCCAGCCTGAAAACAGAATGAGACTCTGTCTCAAAAAAAAAAAAAGAAAAAGTTGTTCTCCCAAGTTCAAAGTAAATGCTAATTTTGAACAAAATCAAAAGCAAATATAGTCAGTTTCACTATATCTGGGAACTTACATATGCAGCCCATAAATATGCCTCAGAGTACAAAGAGCTTAGTATTCGAAAGGAAAGGACCTGTGTTCAAATCTGAGCCCCGACAATTTCTAGTTGTACGACTGTACATAAGAAGTGTCCCTATTTGAGCTTTGGTGTTCTCATCTGTAAAAATTCAGGATAAATGAATCCAATCTTAGGATAGCTTTATAGATAATATATGTGAAAGTGTTCTGAGAACTGTAAAATAATATTATTATGTATGCATTCTTCAGAAGGAAGTTTAGTAGCACATTCTTTTTGTGTTCAAATAACTTGGCTTTAAAGAAGCATCTCTTTAAGAATAATCTTTGTTGTGGCTTTATGTTACAGATGGGAAATGTATTTTAAAATTTATTTATGCCCTGACTAGTTGATTTTCCCATCTTTTAATCAAGACCAAACAGAACTTGAAAAAAAAAGAAAAAAGAAATGGCTGTGACCCTTGTATCATGTTACATCAAAACCTAATTGTTAAGTACTTGCTTAGTGCTCTGAGGTATTTGGGATTTTAAGGGCCATTAAATAATACCCTTTCACTTAACTAGTTCAAGACTAATTAAAAGACATAAGACCAATTGAAAGATAGACATAGGACTCAGGTGGGGATAAAAATATCACCTTTGTTACCAAAAAAGTTGATCGGAGACTGTGGTTTGAGATTAAGCAGCCAAGGGGCTAGCTGATGTGTTCTTTGCCTGTAAATTAAACAGACGTGTCCACCCAGTCCGTGGTATAACTGGACACTGCAGGCCCTCGTACCTTGTAACATGAGAGCAGGTTGGTTCCAGAAAAGGGAAAGGATGGGGCTGAGCTCAGATCCTTCTCCCAAATTCACCAGGCAAATAAGTTTGTTCTCACCCCTGTATGGGAGATAGGGAACACATCCAGAAGTCATTCCATATGGATACATAAATGTGAAATAAATACTTCCCCCAACAAGAGTTATAAGTTTTATATTATTGACTCCTCACAAGAACTCTGGGAGGCAAAAAAGGTCTCAATTTTATAAATAAACATTGAATTTGCCCAGGTCATCAGACAGCTAGGATGTTACAGCAATGGGAATCCAACCCACGTATCCCTCCCTGGGATCACACTTCAACAGTTCCACTTCAACTGGGGAACTCAAACCACATAGATGACATCTACTTACACATAAAGAAGGCACTGAATCATAATAGCTTCCATGTGTCAGGCCCTTGATGGCTATTTCAATCCCTATAATAACCTTTCACCCAGTGGAGAAGGAAACTGGAGCACGAGCAAGCATCTTACTGACTTGGCTAAGAGATTTGAATTTAAGTGTTTGTATTTTATTTCCAAAGCTCAACTGCAATCCAATTTACTCCACTGACTCACCCTCACACTTCTAAAAATGCAAAAATTAAAGCCTAGACAAGAAAAGTGACTCATCCAAAGTCATACTGCTAGAGTCAGGACTGGAATCCATATAGTCTGGTCCTTTATATCCTGATAACATTCGATAACGTACAGCCTTGGCAGTCAGCACAGAGGAATTCAGAGAGGGGAGGGTTTTCTGAAGTACATAGTCCATAACCGAAGGGATGGATTTCCTTAAGCTTGGAGAAACTGATTTTGCTCTGTGTCTAATGTAGAGGATGGGACCTGCTTGTCCTTGACATTGGCGTAAGAGGTAAGACAAGAATGGATGAGGTTCCGGAGTTTGATCTCTGTATGGACTCAAAGAGACTTACAGATTTTCTGCCAGTGTGGCAAAGGGTTGCCCCTGGGAGTCCGGCTATGCAGGGTCCCCTCAGCTCACAGTGCTGCCAGCACAGTCTAGAGAATGAAGGTTCTTGGTCACCAGAGGCAAGCAAACAAATACTAGACAAAATTTGGTAACGAAAGCTCTTCTGCCTTTTAGATGCTGGAACTTTCTCAAGTGCAAATTTTACTTTAAAAGCAGGAATACATTTTGAGAAGCCTCTGTTGGTTTATTGTTTTCCAGTTCCACGTATTGAACCTGAAGCCTGTAACTCATGGAATGAGAGAGAACCCTTTTAGGCCAAGTAAGAGGTGGGGAGTTACTATGAAAATTATTAGGGAACCAGCGGAAGGCCTGGGTTCTGGTTCTACCTCTACCACTTCCTATGTGATAACAGACAAATCCAGTCTCTGGGTCTTGTTTTCTAACCTACAGAGTGGGGCTGATTTCCAAGAACTACTGCAATGCATTTCCCCCATAAACTGTTAAATTCATTAGGAACATTAAAAAGAAAAAGAAGAAAAAAGTCCAATCTAGCATTTTTTTCTAAAAGTAAAATACTAGATCCAGACTTTCTTCTATTCAATTTCAAAATAAAAGCATTACCTCAGCAAAATTAAATGTAAAAGGTCTAGCTTCCTCACATGATTGTGAGTTAATGTTTGTGTAAATTCGTTACAAACTCTGAAGGGTCATGCAAGTATTGCTGCTGCTATTCTTTTTCGTATTACTCAGCTCTTGCCCTCAGGTAGCTCCCAACCTAATAGTACAAGCTAAGTATCCCTTATCTGAAGTACATGAGACCAGAAATGTTTTGGATTTTGGATTTTTTCAGAGTTTGTAACATTTACCTACTGGTTGAGCATCCCAAATCAGAACATCCAAAATCTGAAATGCTCCAAGGAGCATTTGTTTTGAGCATC